ATCAACAGTAATAGAATTGTATTGAAGTTTTCTAGAGGAATGGATTCAATTAAAAATATATGTATAATTATGCAAGGGGATTTATAGTAAGACTTACTGAATCATAAGCAGGGGGTTCCAAGTGATGGTCTGTGTCATCAGAGGAGGGGAGAGTCAACTCACTGTAGCCGTCTGTGCACTGGAAAGTGGAGGATTCCTTGCTACCCAGCCCAGGAAGATGGAAGTCACAAAATAAGAGGGATCCAGAATACAGTGCTAGTCCAAGGTCAAAGGCCTGGAACTTCACTGTAGAGTTGCCTGTGCTAGACTGCCCTGGAAGGCAAAAGAAACCGGAGGCCAATATCCAAACGCAGTGGCAAGACTAGAGTAGAGCTCTTCTAAAACAGGGTCTCTCCCTTCTTGTTTTCTGTTTTATCCCATCCTGGCTACAAAACTATTGGTTGGCACCACCGACATCTGGAGTGAGTCTTCCCTGCCTCATTTGGTGGCCTGCATGTCAGTCATCCACTGACACACCCAGAACTTGCTCCACTAATCTGCTAGGCATTTCTTAATCCATTCAGTCTGACATTTCATGATTAATGCATGCATGTATATGTATATCTGGGTCACTATAGAGATATATTTACTAAATAATTAGAAATATGACAAAAACACAAATGGCTGCTATACCTTCATAAATTCTTTTAGAAAACATGTATCCTCTTGTAACAATTGAGAATTGTTTGAAAACACAGAAAAAATAGTGATCTCCAATGCCAGTAGATAATCAAGTTTTGGATTTTTTAATTTCATTTTTTTGTGTGTGTATGTGTGTGTGTGTGCAGTTAGATGGTATAAGCGTAAGGGGTAGGTAGGTAACAGGTTTACAAATATGTCTATGAACTACATAAATTACATAAGAAATATGCTATACTCAGAAACTTTTTTGTTTTCTGTTTTATCCTATTCTTACATGATTAAATTTTTGTCAATACTATTTTTGTGCAATTCTATCATTCTTAATAAGTAGAGAAGAATAAAACTAGCATACAGATCAGGATCGGCAGTATAATGAACGCTGCATGATAGGCTGCATTTTTCTTCCACAATCTTATGTAAGTAAGTAAAAGGAAGCATTTTATAAATGTACCAATAAATTCAATATTTCTATCACCTTTCCTATGCTGTTCATCTCATAGAGATCACATTTCTGCCTCTAGAAAATTAGCTGCCATATAACCATAAATATAACTGAGTATGTGGTTCTTTGGTAGTTCATTCTTACCAAGTATCAGTCCTAAACCTGTAAGCCTAAAACCTTACAAATCTCAGGGATGTTTACTGCCACCCCTTCCCAGTACTTGGGGACATATCATTAAGTAGTACTGTAGCCAACAGCTGCTATCATGCCTTTTTGGACCCCAATTTCTTTGAACTTGACTGTATTAGGTAAATCAAAGCAGTGGTTGTCATGTGCTTGGTTTGGGAGCACATATACTAAAATAGCAAAGTAGTGGTTTTCAGCTTGAGGTTTTTCTGATCCTTGATGATATTTAATGATGTCTGAAGGCATTTTGGCTTGGCTGTCCCAAGATTTCCTCCATTGCAGCAAGAGCCTCGCTGTTTGGATTATCATTATCACTGTACTCCTCCTCCTCATTGTCATCACCACTAATTTAGCTTGGATGTCTGTGGGAGGCAAAAGCGAGATGCCCCTGATGCCATGTGGAAAGAGCTCCTGTCTGAAAGATGGGAATCCAGGGAGGATCTGAGGTCTGGATATGACATGGCCCTTGGGCTCATTATGACTCTAAGGTCCTTCATTGGAGGCACTTGGGAATATTTTATACCCATTTCCATGCGCTGTGTAATGTTGTCTGACAAGATTTGAGTTTAATTTTCATAGTTGCTGGTTGAGCTAAGATTATTAGAAAGAGGAAATGGCTGGGCTAACTGCTGTAATGCCCTTCTTCACCACTGGGAATTTTGCAGTTATTAGCTGTTATTTTGCTGTTATTACTGCTAATTATGGATTTGAGTTTGGTACAGCATAGGAAAGATATAAAGCCTAGGTATAGTGGGTGAAGAATATAAAATTGCATTTTACCTTACTATCATTGTAGGAGGAATCTGTCTTGTAATTTTTTGAGCCTGGGTCACACCATGATGGTCCACAGTAGCTGGGACCTAAGGATATAATATATTATAGCACTAAACAGTCTGATAAAGTCAAACTCACAGAGGCAGAGCACAGACTGATGGTTGCCAGAGAGTGGGGAAGCAAAGGAGATGTTGGGCAAAAAATACAGAATTTCAGCACCAACAGGAATTGTTAGTTCCTGAGATCTGTTGTACTTCTCAGTGACTATAATTAATAACAATGCATTGCATTATTAAAAATCACAGCTGACTTTATGTGGTCTCATCACAAAAAAATAATAAGCACGTGTGGCAGTGCATGTATAAATTAGCCCAATTTGCCACTTTACCATGTATACATATTCTAAATATAATATATATATATATATATATATAATTTATCTATTTAAAGATAATAAACACAATTCACATAATATTTTAACTATAGAAAATATAGCAATTTAAAAGCCAGTGCTTCTATTGAAAATGGGTGTAGAATAATAAAAAACATGGAAATGTAGTTGACAACTCAAAACTCATCACTGAAAATAAATAAATGAAGATTCTGACCCAGACAACATGCTGTCTGGACTTCACAAAGCTCCAATGTTGTCAAATCCAGTAGACCATAAATCCAGTGGTTAACCTCTGTGCACCTTGATTTCTTCATTTGTAAAATGAGCATGATAATACATCTTAAGATGTCTCTATGAAGAGTACTTGTATTACTACATGTAAAGCGTTTAGAATGGAACCAATCATTGTTAGCGCCTAATTTATTGTTTTTGTTATACTTTTGGCTCTCAGATTTCAGAGACTTACAGAAGACTAGTTTCAAATGAAAAGATAACTATGATGCTACCTAATCTTTATTTCATTTGTATATTTAGGTAACAAATAAAAGATGTTAGTGCAAAATAATAATAATGATAGTTGTGACTCTTACTAAACAGTAAATACATTTGCCAAAGAAAACTGATTTGATTATAGAACGAGTGGTTTGATGAGGGTACAGTTGTGTGCCACATCATGGCATTTTTGTGAATGACCTATGAGACATGGCCTGTAAGATTTTATTTTCAGGTGACATTGCAGCCATCTTGGCTTGTGTGAGTCTACTTTGTTATGTTTACAAGAGAAAATCTCTGGTCAGCGCATTTCTAACATGCCCCAGCATTACGTGAGTGATACATGATGGTCTCTAACTCAAAACTCATTTTTATAGCTGTCTTTTTGTATCACAACAGCCAGAGAAGTTTTCTAGTTTTCTCCCTTAAAATGTTCACAAACATGTAATCACAAGATTGTTTTTTAATTTATACTTTAATTCAGTATATCTTTATTACACAGAAATTAACCAAATCCCAGAGAGGCCTGGGAAATGTTATAGATTATAAATTGAGAATATTGTAAGACAGAGATGAAGGCTAATTATTAGCAGTAATTTCTGGCATTCCAGTGGGAAAAAAGACAGTTACTTAACAGCAAATAATGGAATTTTGTTTCTGAGATAATAATATAATGAGTTAGTTAAAAAGAGCTAGCTTATAATAGGCTTATTAAATTGAGCAATAAAGTTCTATTTCTTTGAATAACCTGTTGTCAAAATCTTTACAGCTGACTTCATTTACAGTGAAACTAAATGAACTATTTCTTTTAAAAGTTAGATGTGACTTCTCTCTGTTTTGTTAGGGGTTAAAAATATCATGTCAGTGGATCTGGCTATGATCAAACCCCTTAATTCTGTTTTAATTATGGTTTCTTTGCCACTTCTGATTTTATAGTGATTGCTGACTGACATTCAGGCATTCATAGTAATTTTTTAAATACATAATTTCACATAAGAGTACCCTCAAAGTGACCTTAAGATGAGCCACTCTAGACATAATTATAGAGAGGAAGGAACTGCTGGCCTAGAATGACTTGATAGCTTCCAGGAATATCTCATTTTTGAATTTTCCTGTTAAGCACTATGGCAGTTTCACATTTCTGCAAACTTGTGAGGAGCACAGGAAGGACACTGAGGAAGGAGTCATGTGTACAGCACATGTTTATTCTCACAATTGTGTATTTGAAAACAGTAGGAACCCAATATGATTAGCCACATCCTTCTCCCTGGAGACTTGAACCATAAAAGTGCCTTTTGCCACCATACTCTGTATTTCTTAGGAATAATTGGCTTGTGGCTACGTGTCATTTGTCAGAAGATCTGAATATTTGTTGTGCATAATGATTTTTAGGAAGGTCCAAAAACTGACATTTTCGTGTTTTAAGATGCAAGTTTAAAGCATGAGTTTTGGCAAAGTGAATTCTAATTCAGTAATATGCACTACAAATCACATTTCCCTAACTTTAAAGCAACTTTTTTTTCAGATTCTATGTCCTATTGACAATCTTTACCAAGAGCATTCCTTCTGCAGTAAATGATGTGTTTTAAATTATTCAAGTGAAAGATCTCTGAAATGCTAACACATTTCCACAATAACAACTGTTTCATCATATGTAAAATTAAGATGTTAACACTGTATCTCTAAGATATCTTCTGACACCTAATATCCCTTGATTTTAATGTCCAGCCTTTTTTAATTATAAAAATATTTCACTGAATTTCCAAACTTATGGAGTATTTCAAGTTGCACGCTCTGCCTTGCCAAATGGTCCTCTCTGTTAATTGTCATCAAATGATCGCCTCCTAAGGGCTCTTTCCCACTTGATGGAACAGAGAGAGGAGAAGAATATTTGTCTGCTAGGAGCAAGATTGCATCTATAAGAGGTCCAACCATTTTGTCTTGCCATCACTCTGTGTTTGGTCATCTGAGAATATGAGCTGTTAACTTGCTTTCTCCTCTTCACATTTTTCATGTGCATTTTCCCAACAGAAAGGAGAACCTGACTGCTATGCACTCTCCCTAGAGATGAGTGAGAAACTCACGTTTGAGATCCCCCTGAATGACTCTGGCTCTGCTGGCCTTGGGGTGAGCTTGAAAGGGAACAAATCTCGAGAAACTGGAACAGACTTGGGAATCTTTATTAAATCTGTTATCCATGGAGGTGCTGCTTTTAAGGTGAGGAAGTTATGTTTACACCCAGTGAGGGGCTCCTTGGAGATGTGGCTGTTGTGCCTGGGGTGTGGATGGAGGAGAGCGGAAAGACCTAAGACCACTGAGGCTTTCTTGTGGGTACAGGAAAAATATGTGTGAACAGATCTGAGGAGCAGTTGCCTGTCTTCATATTTTAGGCAGTTAATTTTACTTTCTAGCGATAGTTCTAAAAACTCATTGTAATTAACATGATAGTTTGCATCCCTTTTATTATTCCATTAGGAGTCCTCTGAATTTGTAAACTAGCAGAGTTGAGCCTAAAGATACATAATCAGAAAAAAAAGAACTAAAAACAAGTTAACAAAAGGCAATAAATGTGAAAACTGTACTTGCAAGAACGAAATTCAGTAGAGCTGATTGTAGTATAAATTAAAGGTCACTTATCATGTTTTATGCACTTGAAGGTAAATATGGTGCCCAGAAGGCATATTTACATTTGAACACTTGGAAATGCTTATATATTTCCAGGAAAAGGGGGAAAAGACATACTCTATCTTTCACACTAGGATGAGCCAAGTGACCACAGCTAATCACATGATGTAATGCTTAACTAAGTCACCTGTGTTCAGATCTAGCTTCACTGCTTTCTACCTAGGTGAAAACATGGACAAGGGAATTGCCCCGCGATCTCTACCTTCTCTCAGTAGAATGAAGACAATAAATTTGCTGTAGCATTTGTCTTCACGTATGTGCACTTTCACTGTTTTTTCAACATAGACACTAGCACTGATGGTGAATGGTTTAGAGACAAGTGCTGAAATGCAACCCAAAACCCACTTACTTATTGCAAATGCTAATACTTCAATTAAACCTGAATACTGAGGTTTTAGTTTAGAAAAAACAACTCATACATGAACATCTTTTATCTTAAAGGAAAAACAGCAACCGTGCTATAGGTTTGCCACCACTGTACTAGGGTGATGCCTTTTTGCCTGTGGGAAATAAGAATCTCTTTAATTCCTCCTTGGATTGGTTAGCTTTTTTCACATTATAAATAATCACAAGCATTCAGTAATCTACACCAATAAGCTGTTGTTTCCTCCCTGGCTCTGTGGGGCAGCTGAGAGGGGTGGTGGTAGCTGTGATTCAGTCTGGTTTCCTGATTTCTCACTCTGTAAATCCATTGTTCTGAAAGTGCTCCACAGATATCACCACTCTGTGGACCAGCAGGCTAGCTGAGGCATCAGAAGGTCAGAGGGTGTGGCTGAGGTGTGGGTGCAGAGGAGGTTACGAATTGAGGCCTGTCATAATCAATCTTCGAAACTCCCCAACATGCCTCAGAGTTTCACAACAGGAATAGAAGGAAAATTATAGTAATAATAACAATGATAGTAGCTGTTAACACTTATTTTACTTGGTGCTTAGTATATACTTGGACACCATCATGAGTGTTTTATATAGATTCTCTACTTTCATTCTTTGTACTCATATTATTATCATGTCATTTTATTAAAGAATAAATCATACCTGGCAGTGGTTCCTGTCTCAACTGTGTTCAGATGGCCAGAAATTGCTCAAACAAATCCTATTCCTGAGCCTGCAGTGCATGGCTCTGTAACCTGGGTTCTTTCCTCACATCCATTCTTCTCATACACATTAGGGGCTGTCACCATGGAGTGCTCTTGTCTCCCGCTTATCTTTTTTAGCCAATCCATCTAAACATATGATGTGTTTGAGGTTGGGTCCTTGTTCATGTTTGTGGATATCAGCTTGGTATTATTCTTCTTATGCCTAATGACAGCTCTATTTGCAGAATTTATTCCAAGTCAAATTGAAACTGAGATGACTTTTTTGGAAATTAAAAGCAAACATCTTTGCTCTTTTATGGGCAATAATTTAAGATCAAGCAGATATTTGTGTGGTTGAATATGTATATGTCTGTTTGTGTAAGTGAGCATCTCCTTACTTAAGCAGTTTCTAACATTCCCATTTCTTGCAGAAAGATTTCACTTTCTAGTTATGTAAATTTCTTTCCTGACACTGGTCTGCTGAGTCAGACAATCACACCATTAAGAACCACTGGACAGCATATTTATAGCTGATCTTAAACAATAAGAAGCATCAATCATGAATTTAGCCTTGTTGTGAATGTTTAGTATACATTTGTCTTGTTTACCTTTTTGTATTAAAGGATGGAGAGGCCTGAGCTTTGCTTACATGAAATCTGATTAACTGAAAAAAAAATTTCTGTTTTCTTTCTGTTTTTCCAATAATCTAGTGCCACTCCTAAGAAAATTGCTGCCTGTTTTATGATCCTAGATTATATCTTACAAAAATTGTGTTGAGACTCTCTTCATGTCCCCATTGAGAAGATACAAATGTAACAGACTGCAGAGTCCCTAGGGCAAAGAGAAGATAAACATGGGAACCCTCCACCTTAGCATTTGGCCCAGATTTTTACCCAAAATCAACAAAACAATCTACCAGAGCACAATCTTTTTTTCCTGGCTTTTCATACCACTAATTGGTTCTCAAGGTGTTTTTCCCTTAGGGGAAGGTGGATTGTTGAAAACTAAACTGCTTTGAGCAGTATGACCAAATTCTTTCTGAGGATTCTGTACACTGTATTCTTCTGGGGACAACTGTTGGTATAAACAAAGACAGGCTACCTGGCAGATATAAAACCCTGAATGGTTCTGCCTCTAATTGAGGGCCTATTTTTTTGTTTGTTTGTTTCTTCCCTTACCTCTTAGGCTACTGTTTTCTATAATTTTGTCTCTTATGTGAATTACCTCTCACTGATCTGAAGGTCTCTGTTTACAAATGAGAGTATCTAGCTATTCTAGGTTAATGATTCACTAACTCATTTAAGGTCAAGCAGACTATATTTTTATTGTATTTAAAAATTACCCAAATGCTCACTCTCCTCTTAATATTTAAACATTGAGTTCGTGTATTATGAAATAAAGCCCACAAATGAATTCCTTGCAAATGGCAGGTAGTAATAGGCTGATTTGGCATCTGGAGCTCTTTGTGCACCTCTCTGAAGTATCACAATTAGCTGTGCCTCTGTATTTGCAAACTGTATTGACCATAACAGTAAAATACAACTTCTTAGAAGAGAGATGCTAATATACTTATACAGTAGCACAGGTTACATGCTTCGAGTTTTGTTTTTGTTTCTGTTATTCTTCCTGGACATTTTCCCCTGAAGTATAGTATAATTAGTACAAGAAATAAAATATACTAGATAGAAATATATGTGTTAACTTCTGCATTATTTAGAATTATTACTGATATGAAATTATGATGTTCTGGAGGAAGATTTTCTACATTTTCATTTTTGTGGTTCCAGTTCCACAAGATTGTTACAGAGAAATATTATATTTGTTGCATTTAGAAAACTATCTTGAGAAAAATATTTCCTTCCCCCAATCTATGCTAAAATTCACTTTTTATTTTCTCAAGGGTGGCATAAATAAAGTATCAGTAGTCACTTCAAACACCTCAGTTATTTTCATATGTGTTTGCTAAACATTTTGAATTCTGAGATCAGTAGCTTTTCTTTGCTTTGGTTTTGTTGAACTATATTATTTTTTTTTAATTTTAGCACAAATACATTTTACATCTATACTGTTACTCACCTCAACTGTGTCTTTTCCTGCCTAAATCACTACTAGAAAAAATATATAACTAAAATAGTGATATTTTGAAAAATTTAGGTAACATATTAACACATTGTAGTAAGAATAAAAACCTGATGGAGTCTGTTGTACTTGCTCTGAATACATTTTTTTATTTGAATATCCTGACTTTGGGAGTAGAATCTGTCCTATTGAAACCCTGAAATATTAAGATAAAAATTAAAATTTAAACAAAATTTTTGCTAAGGGAAAAATGTCATGTATCAGATATTTTTTTATGTATATATATATTATTTAAGGACTCTTAAATAGAATAAATTTAAGAATATCTGTTATTCTGTAGAAAATTAATTAACCAGATTTGTGCTTAATAAATACTACTTGATGATGATGAAATTAAGTGAAAGAAAAATGCCTAAGATAGCTAATTGCAAATGTATGCGCTCAGAATATGAAATAGTCATAATTTAGGTAATTTGATTCTCATGTGCTTAGGAAATTTGGGATGCTCCTCTGAAAGAAGCAGAATTTCATAATCTATACTATTTAGAAATATGTAAACGAATATTAACTAATACAAGTAATTCCAGTATTTTCCGGTGACCAACCTGAATTTGGGGAGTAAAAATACATAGCTCTAAAATATCCAAGAACATGTCATCTGATTGTGAATCTCATGTCTCTTTGTACTGGAACATTTAACAGCATATACCACTTTTTACGGGAGTCTGGTTGCAGTTGAATAATTTCCACCTCCATCTCTGCCAGTATCTATAAATCATGTGTGTATCTATAATTAATGAATCCAAAGGAAGATAAAAGGGACAGCTTTCTAAGGAACACTAATGTTAAATGATTTCTTCAACTCTCCATTTTTCTTAAAATTGATAACGTTTTCTAGTGGTGGGAGAACTTTAAGGACCCTTACTAGTAACAGTATCTTTTAAGCTTTTACTTCTGACAGGAAGATCAGACTGGGTCGTAAACAGTGCCATTGCAAATCTTTAACCAAAGCTGCACATTAACATTCATCCGTCACCATAAAAATGTGATACATTTTATGGACAAGAAAAAGCAGAAACTTTGCCTGAAAAAATAAGTTCATAAAATCATAACTAACATGCCCAATAAAAATTTTAATATTAGAAAACAAGGAAATTACTAATTTAACTATAAGAAAAATATATTTAACCAATTTCCTTTTTAAAAACCTAAAATGTAGTCAAGATTATCATTTATGAATTCTATACAGTAGGAATTACTTCATAAAAATATAATATTACTCCTAATATCCCACAATACCTGCATCCTTGATTGCTTTTCTTGCAGATCTTTATCACTTATAGATTTTATTTCATGCATGGAAATGCAAACAAGAAA